TTTATTAGTTTCAAGTGTACAATAGAACGTTTTGACACTTCCATACAATATGCCTTGCTCATCTCAAGTGCGTTCCTTAATCCCTATCACCTATCTCACCCATCCCTCACCCACCTCCTGTATTGGTAATCATCAGTTTGTTCTCTATAGTTAGGACTCTGTTTCTTGGTTTCTCTTTTTTTCCCCTCCATTCACTCATTTGTTTCTTTTCTTTTTTTTTTTTTTTTTAATTTACGATAGTTGTACAGAGAGAGAGAGAGAGGCAGAGACACAGGCAGAGGGAGAAGCAGGCTCCATGCACCGGGAGCCCGACGTGGGATTTGATCCCGGGTCTCCAGGATCGCGCCCTGGGCCAAAGGCAGGCGCCAAACCGCTGCGCCACCCAGGGATCCCCACTCATTTGTTTCTTAAATTCCACATATGAGTGAAATCCTATGGTATTTGTCTTTCTCTGACTTATTTACTTTAGCACCTCTAGGTCCATCCACATCGTTGCAAATGGCAAGATTTCATTCTTTTTTTTTAAATTTTTTTCTTTTATTTATTTATGATAGTCACACACAGAGAGACAGAGAGGCAGAGACATAGGCAGAGGGAAAAGCAGGCTCCATGCACCGGGAGCCCAACGTGGGATTCGATCCCGGATCTCCTGGATCGCGCCCTGGGCCAAAGGCAGGCGCCAAACCACTGCGTCACCCAGGGATCCCAAGATTTCATTCTTTCTGATGGCTGAGTGATATTCTGTTGTATACGTCCACCACATCTTCTTTATCCGTTCATCCGTTGATGGACTTGGGCTGCTTCCACAATTTGGCTATTGTAGATAATGCTGCTAGAAACGTAAGGGGTGCATGTATTCCTTTGAATTAGTGTTTTTGTATTTTTGGGATAAATACCCAGTAGTGTGATTAATGGGATCGTAGGGTAGCTCTATTTTTATTTTATCTTAGTTTAGTTTTAGTTGGTTTTGTTTTGTTTTACGTCGTGAAAGGTCCTACACTGTTGTTTGTTCTTGGCATATTGTCACCTATCCATTGATAGACGCTCTGTAGTTCTGTGGGAAATGTTGGTTCAATAACCCTGTACCACTGTATAGACCATTATGAGGGCTAGGATTTATATAATACACAAATGGGACACCTGGGTGGCTCAGCAGTTGAGCATCTGCCTTTGGCTCAGGGTGTGATCCTGGAGTCCCGGGATCGAGTCCCACGTCAGGCTCCCGGCATGGGGCCTGCTTCTCTTTCCTCCCGTATCTCTGCCTCTCTCTCTCTCTCTCTCTCTCTGTCTATCATGCATAAATAAATAAATCTTAAAAAAAAGATTTTATTTATGCATGAAAGACACACACAGAGAGAGGCAGAGACATAGGGAGAGAGAGAAGCAGGCTCCCTGCAGGAAACCCGATGTGGGACTTGATCCCGGGACTCCAGGATCACGCCCTGGGCCAAAGGCAGGCGCTAAACCTCTGAGTCACCCAGGGATCCCCAAATAAATAAAATCTTTAAAAAATATATACAAATGGGAGTACTGTGTCAATGGAGAATTGAACCTAAACTGTCAACCAGTTGATGAAACCAAAGAACTCAACCAGCTATTTATTTTTTTTTTTATCTTTTATGGCAAAACTGTCTCACAGCCAATTGGTTATATGGCAAAACACTTGTAGCAAAGATGCTTACAGGAGAACCACCTAGAACTGTCCAGTGGGAAAGTGCTGCTGGACACAGAGGTGGGAGGGAAGGAAACCTCCCAATGGAGGGAAAAGCCAGCTGGATAAGGGGGACTATGGCTCACAGGAGCACCCAGCAGACCCTGAAGGCCAGGGACATCTCTGTGGACAGGATCCGAGTTACCCAAGCTGGAAGGAGGGTATGGGAGCAGAGAGGCCTGCTGGTATCCCACTGCGGGGTTACCTGCTTGTCCCCCTGAGGCCTCTCCCCCACCGGCAGCCCGTGTCCATGGGCAGTCCGCCCTTGTACTGGCTCCCACCAGCTGGGTCTCCCTCGGCACCCCTCCCCAGGCCACACAAACCTTGACACCCCTATAGCAAAACCTCAGCCAGCCCAGAGCCCTCGACCATTCCTGAACTCACCAGTCCCCTGTCCTTGTTCATTGAATGTGGTAAATTTGCAGCACAGACAAGGAAAGACCATTCTTCTTCCTTCCATAGTGGAAAAACCCGTGGGGTGTCATCACTCCCACTGGTGATCAGATGTACCTAAAGGTACAGGATTACAAAGAGGGGTGTCTGCCAAGAGACCACCACATTATGAAGGAAGGGCCAGGGCGTGGTGGGGAGCCAGCAGTCATGGCCAGCTAACCCCCACAGGCCCCTGAGATGTGGTTCAGAGCAGGTGATCTGGACACAGTCACTTACAGGCTCAGAGCCTGAGTTTCAGAATGAGGAGGGGGCTTCAGGTGGTAATTCCTTTCCCATAGACTTGTGTGAAGGTTAAAGGAGCTGAAAGGACAAAGTGCAAAGTCCCTGACTTATAGGAGGTGCTCAGTAAATGCCACCGGGACTTACTGTATTGCAACTAAATGTCCCAGAGCAGGGAATGAGCTAATAGGCCTGAACCCCCAAAGGTGGGCGTGCAAAGAGAGGGCGACTGAGCTTCCTTCCCTGGCCTCCAGGTCCTGTCCCCTCACAGGATCCCCTCTTCACAGGATCCCCTCAAAGCCGAGGCCAGGCTTTTCAGGAGCCCCCAGGACACTGGCCTGCTCCTCCCGCTGCACTGGGGGTGACCGTGATGCAGCCCCACTCAGACCCATATCACAGAAACCTCATAGCTGCCTGTCCCCAAGGTGGTGTCCTTCTGGGAAAGCCTCACCTCCCAGAGGGGGGCATAAGCCTGCACCTTGGTGGGGTGGGCACTTCAGAGTGTGGGGCCACTGGTCACTGGAGCGTCAGGGGAGGAGACCAGTGGAGGGTCTGGCTCCCTATGATCTCAGGCTAAATTCCCCGCCTGGCCTTCCGGGCTCCCCACCTCACCTCAGAGCACTTCTCCCCCAGGGATGCCGGGCTTCCCCTCCTGCACCTCTACTCTGTCCAAGAGCTTTCCTGTCTCCATCCAGTAGCACCAGTGGCCCCCAGGAAGCCTTCCTGACACCTCCAGCTGGAAACCCATCCATCTCTAGGCCTCATCACCTGGGCCTCTGTGGATGCATCTTCATGGTCTGCCTCCAAAGAAAGCTGTGGTGTGTGTGTGTGTGTGTGTGTGTGTGTTTGCATGTGTGTGTGTGTGTCTGTTTGTCTGTCTGCAGAATGTTGGCATCTACCCCTGGGATTTTGCTCCATGGCCAGAGCCTTGGTTATGGACCTGGGCTCCACCTCAGCATTCTTGTCTTTCTTTGGGTATCTGGTCCTCCTTTATCTTTGATTCCTTGCTGCCTATGGAATGGAGCCAGGGAACCCTTGGTGTAAGACTCTGACCTCCTGCAGGCTTTGCGGCGAAGGGCCACATAGTGGGCTCCTCCCCGCCTGCCCTCGCGGAGACTGAGATGTGGCCCCTTGGCCTCCAGGTCCTGCCGCCAGTTCTGGCCCCACCCTGCGCCCCAGCTCAAGCCCCAGGTACATCACAAATCCATAGTGTCTCCTGGGACCCTTCAGGTGGCCTATGGACCTCCTCCATGGAATGGTGTGAGGTAGCCAAACAGCCAGGGCAGGGGGAGCAACATGGTGCAGTGGTCAAGACCACCCAGGTCAGTCCTGGCCCACCACCTGGTGATATGGCCTTGGACCTTAGACAAGCCACTGCCTTCACGTGCCTCCCCTTCTCCTGTGTAAAACAATGATAATAACAAGTACTGGTTTCTGGGGCTCCTTGGTGGTTCAATTGGTTAAGGATCCCTAGGGCTGAGAAGATGGTTGAGGTCATCACCATTGATTTCAACCCTTTTCTCACACCATACACAAAAATTAACATGGGACCCCTGGGTGGCTCAGTGGTTGTCTGCCTTTGGCCCAGGGCGTGATCCTGGAGTCCTGGGATGGAGTCCCACATCAGGCTCCCCACAGAGAGCCTGCTTCTCCCTCTGCCTGTGTCTCTGCCTCTCTGTGTCTCTCATGAATAAATAAAATCTTTAAGAAAAAAATTAAGAGAAAACTGATCATCAACATAAATGTAAAAGTTAAAACTATCAAACATTTAGAAGGAAATCTTTGCAATGTTGAGACAGATAAAGAGAGGACACAAAAAGCATTAATCACATGAGATAAAATTGATAAATTGGGCTTCATCAAATTCATTAAATTAAATTGATAAATTGGGCTTCATCAAATTCATTAAAGATTTCTGCTCTTAGACAATTTTTTTAAGATTCTTATTCATGAGAGACACAGAGAGAGGCAGAGACACAGACAGAGGGAGAAGCAGGCTCCTTGCAGGGAGCCCGATGTGGGACTCGATCCCGGAACCCTGGGACTACACCTTGAGCCAAAGGCAGACACTCAACCCCTGAGCACCCAGGTGTCCCAAAAGACAATTTTTAAAGGATTTTATCCATTTATTTGACAAAGCACAGGCAGTGGGGAGGAGTAGAGGGAGAAGGAGAAGCAGGCTCCTCGCTGAACTGGGAGCTTGATGTGGGGCCTGAGATCATGACTTGTACCAAAGTCAGATGCTTAACCAACTGAGCCACTCAGGAGCTCCTGGAAAAATTTCTTCTATAGTTTTGTTTGTCTTCTATAGTTAAACATACATTCAATATTTTTATTTTTTGGTGGGTAGCAAAGCAAGGTCTATTGAGCAATAGTAAAGTTTATTGAATGATGGAGTACAAAGCTCCCAAAGAAGGGACCCAAGCAGGTTGCCCTTAAAAGCTTTTATTTTTAAGTAATCGCTACACTCAACATGAGGTTTGAACTCACGACCCCAAGATCAAGAGTCACACACTCTAACAACTGAGCCAGCCAGGTGCCCCTAAACATACATTTGCTGTTAAACTCAGTAATTCATTTACCTAAAAGAAATGAAAACATTCTTCTACACAACAACTTGTACAGAAATGTTTATCCAGTTTTATTCATGATGGCCAAGATTCAGAAACAGCCCAGAATGTCCATCAACAGGTAAATGGTAAACAAATTACAATACATCCATGCAGTGGAATACTGCTCAGCAACACAAAGGAATATATACTAATACATGTGACAACATGCGGGAATCCCAAAAACTTTATTTGGAGCAAACACAGACACAAATGCATATATAAAGTATAGAATTATATCAAACTCTATAAAGAGCAAATGTGACCTATGGGGGCAGATGGCAGGTTAGTGGTTGCCTAGGGCTGCAGGTGGGGGCCTACTGATTGCAAAGGGGTACGAGGCAGCTTTTGGGGTGATGTGAATGTCCTACTTTGTGGTGGTGGTGGTGGTTTCATGGGCATATACATCTGCCAAAACTAATCAAATTACACACACACACACACACACACACACACACCTAGAGGTCAGGGGAGGGGAAAACCAGAGGGAGAGGGGGAGTGAGAATCCCAAGTAGGCTTCATGCCCAGTGTGGAGCCTGACATGGGGTTTGATCTCACCACCCTGAGATCATGACCTGAGACAAAATCAAGAGCAGGGCACTTAACCGACTGAGCCACCTGGGTGCCCAAAGAGTGTATTTTTAAGTAATCTCTACACTCAACACTGCTCTCAAACCCACAACACTGAGATCAAGAGTCTCATGCTATATCGACTGAGCCAGCCAGGTGCCCCCAGAAAATTTTTTTCTGACCACCCTCCTCAAACTAAGTGAGGCTCCCTAGTATGCACACACTTCATAATCTGTATTTTCTCCTACAGCATTTCCTAGAGTTTGTGATTATTTTTATTGGTTTCCTGTTAATTGCCTCTAGACAGGGCACCAGCAGGTCCTGATCCTGTCTCTCTGGCTCACCACAGATTGCTAAGCACCTGGCACCAAGCGTGCATGCAGTAGGTGCTTAATAAGCACTCATTAAACAAATGAATGCAAGAATTAGGGAATGCAGAGGGCCAGGACCCTCAGCAGGAAGCAAAGGAGAGAGCAACAGCTGGCTCTGGGCCCCCGCCGTACCTACAGAGCTACAGCTCTGTGGACAGGATGACTTCTGGGCCCGACCAGTCAGGGCCCTGGTTCTGCTTAAGGAAGCTGAGTCTGTCCAATTCCTCGGAGATCTCCAGGAAGCTCTTGCCTTTGGTCTCGGGGAGGAAGAAGGCAGTATAGATGGCCCCACAGACACAGACACCAAGGAAAGGCACATAGAAAAAGTGGGACAAGCCCTCCTGCAGGTGAAAAGAGAGACCCGAAGCCCTGGTGTGGCCCCATTCAGCCACCAGACAGAAGGCCTCATTGACAGGCGGTGATGAGGGATTTGTCCCTCTTGGTTCAGATGAGTCCTAACCCCACCAGCCTCAGTCTCCCTGGATAGAGACCTCCCACTGGGCCTCTCCTGCTGACAGAGATGAAACCTAAGGCCAGGGCCCCATGAGGGGTGGGGGCGGCGGGGCAGGCCTACCATGATGAACGGAAACCCCAGCCCGACCAGGAAGAGCAAGATCCACATGAGCGCTCCGCAGACCATATAGGCAGCTGGCCGGGACTTCTGGTCAAACAGCTCCGTGGCCAGGATCCCTGTCACTCCGGCTAGGAGGAGGAACAGGGACAGGGGGCTGCCAGCTGGGCCCGCCTGCCCAGCCTTTCCCCCACCTTGTCCTTGACATGGGAGTGGAGATCCCCCGCCCTCCTCCTCCCGCCATTCCCTCCCAGAAGCCTTGGTACAGGTAGGCGGGGTGGAGGGCATGCAGGTGACACAGCATTCACAGCCACCCACCATGCATGCAGACATTCATGCTCCTTCCACAAAGCTCAAAGCCCAGGGTTCCTTGGGCCCACTCACCGGGGCCAATGCCAAAGCTGAGGATGAAGGCAAAGATGCAGGACATGGCCAGGTAGGGCATCCAGGGGACGGAGCTCTGTAGTAAAGGGGCAGAGGGGATGGAGAGAGATGGACGTCAGGCCCTCCCAAGCCGCAACCCTCGTGTCCAGCCCCGCTACCTGCAGGCACAGGGCCACGGTGAAGATACTTCCCCAGCAGGTCATCAGGGAGTAGCCGGCTATCAGCAGCACGCGGCGGCCCACCCTCTCGATCAGCACACACTGCAAAGGAAAGGAGCCCTGGTGACGGCAGGGACTAGAGCCTGCTGCCCGTTAGAGGTGAGCAGTGGGAAGCTGGTGGTGGGTGGGAGGGGGCAGTTAGGAGCAGCTGATTGCTCCAGGAGATTAAGGCATTATTAATTAGGCCAGTCCTTTGGTCATCTGCAAATGGTGTGGGTTTTTTTTAAAGATTTTAGAGACACACAGAGAGGCAGAGACACAGGCAGAGGGAGAAGCAGGCTCCATGCAGGGAGCCCGCGGGACTCGATCCCAGGTCTCCAGGGTCAGCCCTGGGCAGAAGGCAGGCGCTCAACTGCTGGGACCCAGGCGTCCCTTCAAATGGTGTTTTAAGTGCACGGTCAACAGTTGGTGCTCAATAAATGTTGGCTAACTCGCCCCATTGGAGCACAGTGACCTGGAGCGGAAAAGCCTCAGGACCCCAGGCCCTGCCGCCCCCCGCAGGGCTGGTGGGGGTCAGCCCGGAGCGCGGCGACTCACCGACACGCAGGCCGCCAGCAGCTCGCAGCTCCCGGTGCCCACGACGGCGTACTGGACCTCCGCGTCGGGGACGCCGGCCCCCCGGAACACCGACGAGGCGACCGCGTACACCTGGGGAGGGCGGGCGGAGGAGAGGGCCGGGCTGCGGCTGCCTGCGCTCGCTCGGCTGCGGCCCGCGGCGGGGACGCGGGGCTCACCGAGTCGTTCCCGCACAGCTCCAAGGCGCCGCCCAGCACGGCCAGGCTGGTCACCTGCCTCCGCAGCCCGCGGTCCTGCAGCAGCTCCCACGGGCGCCGCGCTCGCTGGCCCCGGCAGGCGGCTCGCTCCTCGTCCAGCTCCGAGAGCTCCTGCACCACGTCGGCGGTGCCCCGCAGCCGCTGCAGGGCTGGGGGTGCGGGTAGGAGGGCGCTGGGCCTCACTCAGCCCCTCTGCGGCCCTCCACAGTGAGCCCCCACCCCAGCGCCCTTCACCCCCGCGCTGGGCACCCCTCCCCCCCATCGGAGGGGCATCGCCGTCATTTCAGGGCATCAGGGACCAGAAAAGGCTGTAGGAGCTCGGATACATCAGAAGGGACGCCACTGAGGCAGATGGCCATGACCCAGCAACGGCCCCAGTCCTCCCCAGTTCCCCTAGCCGGGCCCTCTGCTAGGGGATCTGTGCAGCTTCCTGCACCCAAAGGGCAAGGTATGGATCATGTGACTGGCTAGGATCTGTACGATGAGGCTGTAGGGAGGCTGTAGGGATGCAATTTTCAGCCCAAGCCTTAAGAGACCTTGCTCATTTATTTCTTCTTGCTCTTCTCCCATCACAAAAGGGTGATGGGTGGGGCTGGCCCACTGGTCCCAGGAATTGCAGAGATGGCCCGGCAGGGACCCTCCCAAATTAGCCAGTGCCCAGCCGATCTGCATGAGCCACCAAGAGCAACAAGGTCACCAGCCAGGCACAGGTCGACCTCAGCCAACCCCTGGGAACTCAAGAGTGATTGAGTTCAAAATCAAAAAAGCAATCAAAAAAGTGATTGCTTTTTTGTTTGCCACTGAGATATGATTATTAGGCAGCAACAGAAAACTGAGGAATTAATTAACAGGTACCAGGAGTGGGTGCTACCTACTGTACTAGGACCTGGAATCTACCCGACTGATTTGAAGACCAGGCAGGGAAGGTGAGGGGGCTGGAAAACTAGAAGCCTCGGTATGCAGGGCAGTAGTGGGGAAGAAAGAAAACAGACCTCATGAACTTCTGGACAAGAGGGAAGAGATCTTTGTGTGGTGAAAGCATGAATTCGTTGTTTTTAGCTGAGTATTCTAAGCTTACTATCAGGAAAAAAAAAAAGGTGCTCAAAAAGACCTTGAGAGGGAATAAGATTTTTTTTTTGAATAAGATTTAATTCAATTTAACTCATTCTGGAATTCACTAGATTGGTTTAATATAAAGCAAAAAGAAACAATAAACTTGTTTCTCCTCTGAACCCCTCCAATTAGCAAAAAGAGTTCCATATTAAGCTACAGCCTGAAAGCCAGGATCAAATCCAGAGCACTGCCAGGGTGCTATGGACTCAGGTAACAATGACATTAAGGGTTGGGATCCCTGGGTGGCTCAGCAGTTTAGCGTCTGCCCTCAGCCCAGGGCATGATCCTGGAGACCGAGGATCGAGTCCCTGCATGGAGCCTGCTTCTCCCTCTGCCTGTGTCTCTCCTTCTCTCCTTCTCTCTGTGTCTCTCATGAATAAATAAATAAAATCTTAAAAAAAAAAAAAAGGTGTGGCTTAGTGCAGTGCCTCATGAACCCTCATGGCTGGAAAAAGGGTCACTGGGGGGCTTTAGGGTGATGGACCCCTGCAGCCTGACATGCCCCCAATTTCAGTAATTCAGTCTCAGAGAGAATCAGGTTTGAAAAAGACTTGTGGGTGTGGCTTTTTGGCAAATCAAATTTGTAGAAAAATCACATTGTTTTTGAGAAAATTATATTGACAAAAGCTCTGCCAACCTGGATGAAAGACCAAGACAATTTGAAATGTAAAGATTTCTGTGCCCCAACTTTTTTTTTCTAAAGATTTTACTTATTTATTTGAGAGAGTATGAGCACAAACAGGAGGAGGGGCAGAGGAGAGAGAGGGAGAAGCGGACTCCCCACTGAGCAGGGGGATTGGTGCGGCTGGATCCCAGGCCCCCGAGATCATAACCAGAGCAGAAGGCAGATGCTTAACTGACCAAGCCACACAGGAACTCCGATGCCCCAGCTCTCTGTGGGCACACTTGCAATGCCCTCTTCAGAAGGTGTCAAGGAAGGATATCTCAGAGGGCAGAAGCCAGAACCTGGGGAAACCATGGCCTGGGGAGCCCCTCCCAGGGGGCAGAGCCAGGACTTGATCAAGGAATATTCCCGGCCCCTAGAGCAGGGAAATCTGACAGCATTTTTCCAGGAGCACTTCAGCGTTAAGGACTGGTGACTGCTTTCTGTTCCCACAACCCCTCCTTTTTTAAAATGAGGGTTAGTTCAGGTTACCCTGTCCTACTTCCACCATCTTGTGTTGAGTTCAGAGGGGCAGGAGATCTGTGTTTTTAGCTCCTAGATCTTTGGATCAAGAGGAGGCACATAGAGACTTGATGTGATCTTAAGATCCTGGACTGCAAGACTGATGCCATGATTGGATAAGACTGTGGGGCCCCAGTGACATTGAACTTGTTTTGCACAGGCAAGGGGTATCAATAATAGCTGTGGCGTGATGGTAAGCTGAGAAGGTGCATGAGCGGGCCCTGGTCCTCACCCTTTTCTAGATCAACACCCCTTGCCATGTGAGAGGATATGCCATTCGTTTTCCCTTCCCTTGACTTTGGGTTCAGCAATATGGCCAGTGGGATGTTCATGGGCACAGGGGACCACAGATTTGCAAAGTGCTTGTGCAATTGGATCCGCTTTCTTGTGCCAAAAGAACATCCCTGGGCCAGCCCATTGGTTCCAAGAGCGAGAGGAGAGGCAAGTGCTGCAGAACTTAATTGCTCCAGCCCAGACCAGCCTGAACTGGCTGACTGGCTGATTCCCAGACTTATGAGCCATCCCAGCTGAGATCAGCAGTCATGAAGCGAGCCCAGCAAGTAAATGAGTAGAAGCCATAAAGGATTATTGGTTTAAGCCTGAGATTTTGATGTTCTTGGACATCATTATCTGGCCATTGCTAATAAATCAGCCTATCAGCACCCAGGTGGCATTGGGCCCATGAAGCCTTACTCGGTGTTTCATCTTGCATATGTGGTAGAGGGGAGGGCTCTTTCCTGGCACCATCCTGCAGTTCCTGGAGGTCAGGGACTGACCCACGGCCATCCCACTGCCTTGGCACTTAGGACAGCCCCTTGGTAAAGAGTTGCTTTTTAAAAAATTTTTTAAAGATTTTATTTATTAGAGAGAGAGCACGGCCAGGGGGAGGGGTAGAGGGAGGGAGGGAGGGAGGGAGGGAGGGAAGGAGGGAGAGAAGCAGACTCCTTGCTGAGCACAGAGCCCAATGCAGGGTGATCCCAGGACCCTCAGATCATGACCTGAGCCAAAGTCAGACACTTAACTAGCTGAGCCACCCAGGCACCCCGGTAAAGAGTTTTGAAGAGATGGATGGATGGCACAAAAGTGAGGGACAGCTTTTCCCTGATAAATGAAACCCAAGAAATGGAGGTTCACATGCTCTGGAGGGATGTACCCCTAGGTCAAGGGTGGTCTGGGGACCCAAGGTCAGGGACTTACCTGCCAGGCAGGCCTCAGTGTCCCCACAGTCAATGAGGAGGTAGCGTGGGCTCTCAGGGAGCAGAGGGAGGGAGGCAAGTTGGAGCACTCCAGGCACCAGACAGCTGGCCAGCAGCAGGGGCCAGGCCCATGGGTCACCCAGGACCTCCCTGGGGAGGCAGAAGAGAGGCCAGACCAGGTGCTTCCTTGTCAGAGCCCTCCCCACTTGCCCTCAAATCCCCTCACTCCTCCCCCCCCCACACCTGTCCCCTGCCTGTTTGCCCTCCTGAGGGTAGAAAACCTGTATTGCTCTCTGGTTCGCCTTTCCCTTTCCTTTCCTTTCTTTCTTTTCTCTCTTCCTTTCTTTCTTTCTTTCTTTCTTTCTTTCTTTCTTTCTTTCTTTCTTTCTTTCTTTCTTTCTTTCTTTCTTCTTTCTTTTCCTTCCTTCCTTCCTTCCTTCCTTCCTTCCTTCCTTCCTTCCTTCCTTCCTTCTTTTTTAAAAAGATTTTATTTCTTTATTTGACAGAGAGGGCACAAGCAGGGGGAGCAGCAGTCAGAGGGAGAGGGAGAAGCAGGCTTCCTGCAGAGCAGGGAACCCCATGCAGGGCTCCATCCCAGGACCCTGGGATCATGACCTGAGCCAAGGCAAACACTTAACCATCTGAGCCACCCAGGCGCCCTGATATCTGCTTCTTTCTAACCAGTTCTGGGTCTGGACACCTCTCACCCCAGATAGGGCCCCAAGATAAGGTAGGGCCATGGCCCCACCTTATCCATAGCAACTCCTCTTCCTAGGGCTCCAGGCTCTGCATTCTCCTTTCTTTTCTGGGATAACCAGGATATGATCCCCTTTAAAAGCCCAAGCCTTCATCCTCTCTCTTGTTAAGATCTGTTCTTTGCTCCCTGATCTAGAGAGGAGGGAAAATGGTGATTCACACTGAAGGGTGATTGACTAATACCTGTTTTGTGTTTTGCGTATTAGCCAGATGGGTGTTGACAGGATTTCAACACAAAGATTTCTTAATTCCAAGGAGCAATGCCTTAGTACACTTAATGGATAGAGGAGAAATTTAGGCAAAGGGCTTTTTCTGGCATCCCTCAAACCACTCAGGGCACATGGAGAAAGGATACTTACCTGAGTCCAACCACCTGACCCATCACGATCCCCAGGGCGGTGAAGATGGCTGGGGTCATGGCCACGGCTCCTCGGAGCTCCTTGGGGGCACTTTCCCCCAGGTACATGGGCTGGACACTCATGCTCACGCCTAGATGTGCGCACAGCCACTAAGTTTGAGAATACCTTTTAGATATCTAATATACACATAGATACCTGGCTGTATAAACAGTAGCAAGTCAAGAGGGGATTTGTGGATGGCTGTCTGTAAAAGCCCAGGTAGATGTGCTTAAAGCTCTGCTTACTCACATGACAAGCCCCAGAAACTAAGGTGCCCCCAATGGGCTACTCTGCATCCATAGGGAAGATCTGAGAACTCATCCCTTTTTTTTTTAAGATTTTATTTATTCATGAGAGACACACACAGAGAGAGAGGCAGAGACACAGGCAAAGGGAGAAGCAGGCTCCATGCAAGGAGCCCGATGTGGGACTCAATCCCAGGACTCCAGGATCACGCCCTGGGCTGAAGGTGGCGCTAAACCACTGAGCCACCCAGACATCCCTCATGTTTCTATTTTTTTAAATTTTTTTCATGCTTCTATATCCACTTTAAGTGTCTAGTTATATGAGCCTTTTGAGATAAACCATAATTAATCATTTTGCAAGGGCGGCCCGGGGGGCTCAGCGGTTTAGTGCCGCCTTCAGCCCAGGGCCTGATCCTAGAGATGGGGATCGAGTCCCATGTTAGGTTCCCTGCATGGAGCCTGCTTCTCCTTCTGCCTGTGTCTCTGCCTCTCTCTCTCTCTCCTGAATAAACAAATAAAATCTTTTTTTTTAAATTTTTATTTATTTTATGATAGTCACACACACACACACACACAGAGAGAGAGAGAGAGAGAGAGAGAGAGAGAGAGAGAGGAAAGAGGAGGCAGAGAGACATAGGCAGAGGGAGAAGCAGGCTCCATGCACCGGGAGCCCGACGTGGGACTCGATCCGGAGTCAAAGGCAGGCGCCAAACCGCTGCGCCACCCAGGGATCCCAACAAATAAAATCTTTAAAAAAATGTATAAAAAATCATTTTACAAAAGAAGAGGTAGGCCTGAACGAAAAACATGAAGAAAGAGAAGGCATTAATGCATAAAAGAAATAAAGAGAAAAAACGAATGAATAGAGTACCTAAATGAGCAGGAATAGAGAGGCAGGATGAGCTGCGTCCCCCCATACCTGCACTGACTCCTATGAGCAGCCTGCCCAGGATGACCATCTCAAAGGAGCCTGCTCTGCGGCTGAAGCCAAACAGGGTTGCTGCGGCCACCACAAAGATGTTATTCACCAGGAGGGACTTCTTCCTAGGGGGAAGTGGAATGCAGGCCAGAGAGGCTCCGGTTCAGTCGGGGGGGACTTTCCCGGGGGACCCCTCTTTGCAGCTCCAGCCAGCCCCGATCAGACCTGCGTGGGTGTATGTGAGAGCTGTGTCAAGGAGTCTAAGCTACAAATGGAAATGACCACCAGCCATTGTGTCTGGGACCCACGTCCTCCTCCCAACATACCCCACGTTCCTCTCCTTTCTGACTGCACCACAGCTTGAAATGACAAAATTTGTATTTCATGGCTTCACCTTTTCAGATTAAGCCTTCCTTTCCTCCCATTCCTTTGTAAAACGAGGGGCCTGCCATCTGATTTCTCAGACTCAATAAAACCCTAGAGAAGAAGACCAGGGACCTTCAGAGTAAAGGGAGGGAAGCATTGAAAGCCCAGTAAAGTCCACTCACATTTTCCTCCAGGGATTATAGATCATTTCTTAGAACTTCCAGGATGGCTGGGGAGCCCAGGCCTAGTTCAGTGGGACAGACTGCAGCCTGGGGAGTGGGAACTGGAGATGTCAGCTGCTCCACCGGGACGACGCCCCGGCTCTGGGACTCCTGACCCTGAACAGGGACATGCTGTACTGACAGGGAGGATCCTAGAGGCCAGTATTCTACCCAAAGTCAACAGCACATCGGTGAGAGAATATGAGCTAAAGCACAGCTCTCTTGTGTCTAGAGAATGGAGGATGGCACAGATTATAGCAAACTTGGTCCAGTGGTAACGCCAGTTGAAAACCATATATGGTTTCCTCGGTGCTACAAATTAATAAAGCACTTCACTTGTGGGGTATTTATTTGGAAAGTGCGTTTTGCTCCACTTCAGAACACAGACAACCCCAGAAATGCTCCGCTTTCACCCAGCAGTAATGCACCTTTACTGACCTGCCTGAGGATAGAGCAGCTTTCCAGCTCTGGACCACAATCCCCTTCCATGGGGAGCTACACAACCCACAGCACGTTCTCTGGCCCACTTCTTTGATGACCTTATACTGAAAGGTCGGGGGAGAATGGGCACCAGAATAGTACACTAGAGGTCTTGTAAGGCACAAGCATGACAAAGAGTGGAAACTTGAAAATGAGGGGGCCACCACATGTGTGAAGTCCCTGAGGTCCAAAGGAGTAACATACACCATCATATTTCCTCCAAAGTACATGAGAAATCGCTGCCCTCCCTCTAAGAAGGATGGGCAACTCTCAGAGGGCATCTTCCCTTTTTGGAGAGAGTGTGTACAGCACTGGGCATCATGCACATAAACCAGGTGATTTGAAAACCTGGCAGCTCCAAGTGGAGATAAGCAAGAATAGTACTCTCTAGTGGCTCCAAACTTAGTGCAAAGAGCTCTGCTATTGGCCCCTTTAGACCTAGGGGAGCTATGGTGCTCCAAGTGGCTGTGACAGTTGTCTAAAAGGAGAATCACAATGCAAACCTAGAGCTTTGGAGCAAAGCCACTCTACTTCACTGAATTACCATCCTCTTAATTAGAAATAACCCTAACCAGGGCACCTGGGTGGTTCAGCAGTTGAGCATCTGCCTTCGGCTCAGGGCATGATCCCGGGGTCCTGGCACTGGGTCCTGCATTGAGCTCCTTGCAGGGAGCCTGCTTCTCCCTCTGCCTATGTCTCTGCCTCTCTCTATGTGTCTCTCATGAATAAATCAATAAAATGAATGAATGAATGAATGAAAGAAAAAGAAGGAAGAAAGAGAGAGAGAGAAAGAGAGGAAAGAAAGAAAGAAAGAAAGAAAGAAGAAAGAAAGAAAGAAGAAGAAAGAAAGAAAGAAAGAAAGAAAGAAAGAAAGAAAGAAAGAAAGAAAGAAAGAAAGACGGACAAACCCTAACCTTGTCAGTAGTCCCTATACCAGACTGTAGGACCCTTTGTGGCCATGTATCCATCATGCACTGTGAGCCATATGACACTCCTATGCTGAGATTGAGTGTGTCTGGTAGCACTCAGTCACTCTTTCAATGGTGCCCGTGTGGCTCCCAAAGGTTCTTTCTCGTGAGCAAGCTGCTCATGTCAGCATGCCTACTTGACCACTCTACCACCCTTCTCCCAAGGCACACCAGGGCCTCTTTCTTGTCTTTGGTTTAAAACAAAACAAAATAGGCACCTGGGTAGCTCAGTGGTTGAGCATCTGCCTTCGGCCCAGGGTGTGATCCCGAGGTCCCGGGATCAAGTCCCGCATTGGGCTCCCTGCACGGAACCTGCTTCTCCCTCTGCCTGTGTCTCTGCCTCTCTCTGTGTGTCTCTCATGAATAAATGAATAAAATCTTTAAAAAATAAATAAATAAAACAAAATAAAACTTGACCTTGGTTTGCAGATGGCTGTGTGCATCTAATAAAATGTAATCAAAATAAAATATAATTTCAAATAAAGCATACATGGTTTCTGTTTACCTATAGTTATTTAAATATGAATATAACAAAATATCTCAATCAAAAAAATTTTAAAGACAGAAAGCGCACAGGAATCAATGATCGGGAGTTTCCTATCTTCAAACTAACTAACCACCTCACCACCCTACACACCTAACCCTGATTCCTGGAAATGGCAACACATCAGGGTTTGTTTGTTTTTAAAGATTTTATTTATTCATGAGAGAGAGAAAGAGAGAGAGAGGCAGAGACACAGGTAGAGGGAGCAGCAGGCTCCATGCAAGGAGCCTGATGTGGGACTTGATCTCGGGACTCCAGGATCACGCCCTGGGCCAAAGGCAGACGCTCAACCGCTGAGCCACCCAGGCATCCCCACATCAGGGTTTCAATCTGCCTCTGGGTGGGAGAAAAACTCCACTGGGTCCCTGCGCTTGGGGTGGGACAGTAAGTTGTCACAACTGGAGCATATGTGCTGAATTTGAATTCTCATTCCTCCCCTTCATGCTCCTGTCAGTACTGTCATGTAGGGACATTGTACCAGGTATCATTAGATATTTGGGGACAGTTATCAGGTAATAGCAAATTCCTTCTTTCTTGCAAGAAGAGCCTAAATTTGTTTAGGAATGTGCCCCTACCCCTTAAGGTTTAGGTATGAACCCAATAATACAGTTTTTTAAAGATTTTATTTATTTGAGAGAGAGAGCATGAGCAACGAGGGGCAGAAGGAGAGAGAAAAGCAGGCTCCCCACTGAGCAGGGAGCCCTATATGGGGCTTGATCCTAGGACCCCGGGATCATGACCCAAGTTGAAGGCAGACGCTCAACCATCTGAGCCACCCAGGCGCCCCTGAACCCAATAATCTAACCCAGACTTGGTGATCCTGTTCTCTATTCTAGTGACCTGGTGCTGGGCAATGAGACATGGCACCTTTTTTGAAAAGTCTGTTGTTGTTCTTTCTGTTATAAGGCATTGACCAGGAAATCTCCCTTCTGCTAGATAATGTTGCCTCTGAGTGAGGCACTGTTCTAACTTTCCAGCTGTAAGCCTGAGGACGAAGACGACACACCTTCCAAGGAGCAGATCCAGGGCACCGAGGTAAACCTGCAGGCACCCATCCACACACTTCTTGTATGAGATAAAGGACCACCTATTGTTTTAGCCAACTAAGTCCTGGTTTCTGTTACTTGCAGTTGAAGGCATCCTAAGAGATAGACCTGTTAAATACACAAACAACATGGTGCCTGTGCAATTTGCATCGAAGGAAAAGGAATTACACCAGTGAGAGAGGGGCTGGTGCCATGGAACTCACTACTGCATTGTGAGTCCCTCCATCCAGAAGCAGATGACCTCCAAGTATAATAACCTGCTGAAGATCCCACATCATCATGTCCACCAAGCCCACTCAAGAATGAAGATTTGATGGGCAAAGAGCCTCAACCAGTGGAAGGACTGGCCCAAGACAAGAATGAAAAACTGGAGGATGAAGTCACAAGCAAAGCCTGGGGCTGGTTCCAAAACCACAGAGCAGAACTCCATTTGCACTACCAGACTCCCTGCGTCATGTGCTTCAAAGTAAATTCACCCACTAGTTTTCTATTCCTTGTTAAGTGTTTTCCCTCCTCCTTCTTCTTTCCTCCACCTATGGGATGTCCTGATGGCAGCTAAATTTACCATTAAGTGTGTCGATTGCAGAACATTGAGAAGTAACTGCAGGGTTGGTGGAATGGACATCATGTGGAAGTCCTGCACTCAGAAAGAGTATGTCCATTATACTGGCCCTGTGGCACGACAAGATGATGCTTTGAGTGGTCTCACTCAGAGAGGTGAACACATATGTTGGTGTATCTGGTGGGATGGTTGAGGAATGCTAGGAGGGGCGCGTATAGAGCTGAATACACAGGAGAAACATGTCTACATATGCAGGGTGGCTAGCAAAGGGGTGGACTGTGGTAGCCATTTGCTCTTTCTGCCTGGCACTGCTTCTCAGCCACAGCTTCACAGGTATAAATGTGTGACCCACAGTGGGTCAAAAACAATCTGTCTTCCTGAATTCTGAATCTTGAATGAAGACATTGGAGATAGAATGTAGTTGGAGCCAATGTACTCTAAAGGCATCCTCCCCGGGATTATGGTCCAAAGCTCTGGCTATTGAGATCTTCAGCACCACCTTGGATCCTGTCCTTCTTAAGAACTGGCTTCTGAGTATTTCCTTTCATTCTATGAGCTGCTCCAGGATCTTTCCAGTTATTACAATTTTTTAATTTTTTTTTATTTATTTATGATAGGCACACAGTGAGAGAGAGAGAGAGAGAGAGAGAGGCAGAGACATAGGCTGAGGGAGAAGCAGGCTCCATGCACCGGGAGCCTGACATGGGATTCGATCCCGGGTCTCCAGGATCACGCCCTGGCCCAAAGGCAGGCGCTAAACCGCTGCGCCACCCAGGGATCCCTATTACAATTTTTTATCAAGTCAGCCCAAGGCTGTCTTTCTCTAAGTAGGCTTTTAATTTTTTATTATATTTTTAAAATTTTAAAAGAAATTAAGATTTTATTATTTTTTTAAAAGATTTTATTTATTTATTCATAGAGACAGAGACAGAGAAAGAGAGGGGCAGAGACACAGGCAGAGGGAGAAGCAGGCTCCATGCAGGGAGTCCGACGCGGGACTCAATCCTGGGTCTCCAGGATCATGCCCTGGGCTGCAGGCGGCGCTAAAGTGCTGCACCACCGGGGCTGCCCAAGATTTTATTTTTTTTAAAGATTTTATTTATTTATTTGTGTGAGAGAGAGAGTGCTCACAGGCAGGGGGGAGGGGCAGAGGGAGAAACAGATTCCCTGCTGAGCAAGGAGCCTGATGTGGGACTCAATCCCAGGACCCTGGGATAATGACATGAGAAGATGTCAGATACTTAACCTACTGAGCCACCCAGGCACCCTTATTTTTATTTTTAAAGTAGGTTCCACATCCAGTGTGGAGCCCAATGTGGGGCTTGAACTCACGACCCTGAGGTCAAGATCTGAGCTGAGACACCAGTCAGATGCTTATGAGCCCCCCAGAGCCCTTCAAGTATACTTTTATTTTTATTTATTTTTTCCAAGTAGACTTTTAAAAAAATTTGTTATTTAAGGAGCAACTGGGTGGCTCACACATCTGCCTTTGGCTCAGGTCATGATACTTGGGTCCTGGGATTGAGCCCCACATTGGGCTCCCTGCTCAGCAGGGAGTCTGCTTCTCCCTCTCCCGCTGCCCCTCCTCACTGCTTGTGTGCTCCCTCCATCTCAAATAAATAAATAAAATCTTTAAAAACATTTTTTATTTAAGTAGGCTCCCTGCCCAATGTGGGGCTTGAACTCACAATCCTTAGATCAAGAGTCCCGTGCTCCACTGACTCAGCCAGCCAGACACCCTTGTTTATTATTTACTTAGTATGAGCCTGTCTCTCTGGTTTGCACCCCAAGAACTGTATCAGTTGGGGATCCCTGGGTGGCTCAGCGGTTCAGCTTCTGCCTTCAGCCCAGGGCATGATCCTGGAGTCCCAGGATCAAGTTCCGCATCGGGCTCCCTGCATGGAGCCTGCTTCTCCCTCTGCCTGTGTCTCTGCCTCTTTCTGTGTGTCTGTCATGAATAAATAAATAAAATCTTAAAAAAAAAAAAAAAAAACCTATCAGTTGGATCCAGAGTGGAGGAATGAGACCTGAAGAGGAGACACTAGTGGACGGTGCAATAGCACTTGCTGGCAGACATGGAACCAGATATCAGGAGTTCTCCCTCCCTCAGAGCACAAGGCCCTTCCCTCTATCAAATCTGCTTAGAAATGTGACGGTTGTGGTGAAGCCGCAGGTAGGGTAGGAGGAGAGCAGGCCTGGGCCTCTACCTGCAGGGCCTCCTCCTTCCCCCACCTTCCTCAGCCTACAGACTGGGGGACCTCTCATCAAGGGGTCTCGGGGGCATACACAAGAAAGCACTTACCTTCCCAGCATGACGGCCAGGGGCCCAGCAAGCAGTGCTCCGAAGAGGCCCCCCAGGGGGTACAGAGACACAATGAGGGACCACACCAACAGAACTAGGTGGCGGGGCAGCGGCTGGCCGGTACGCACCCTCCAGGTCTCATTGATGAACTCCTGAATGTGCTGTGGACAGAGATGCCAGTCAGCACCCCCGGAACAGGGGCCGGGGGGGCCGGCTCCACAGGGTAGGCCTTCTCCCCCACGGGGCTCTGTCTCCCCCAAAGTCACCCGGGCACCTGCTCTGTGAGAGCACTGGACAAGTCCCCTTCACTCACAGTGTCGCCTGGAGCCTAGTTCTGGACAACCTCTGATTGCCCTTCAGCGTCCACCATCACCCCCCTGTGCCCCCACTTGTGGCCCAAGAATCCACCGCACATCACTGGGCTCCTTGCAGACTGGCTTTCTGTCAGGCTTGGCCACGGTGAGCACCAGCAGGACATCAGAGAGAGGCAGGAGGGGAGTTTGTTTCTGGGTCAGGGTGACCTCAGGCTGGCTGTGACACTCCACCAAAGGTCACTGCTCCTCTCAAGGGGTCCTCCATCACATGGCTCTTTCCTTCCATGTGTCCCTTCGGGGGAAGGGGCAGTAATGACTCTGGTATCACTGAGCTCTCCCAGGTCTCCCCACTCAATTTTTAAACTGTCCCTTGTGGTATCTAAACCTATATGACTTTTTTTTTTTAAGATTGTATTTACCTATTCATGAGAGACACAGGGAGAGAGAGAGGCAGAGACACAGGCAGAGGGAGAAGCAGGCTCCGTGCAGGGAGCCCGATGTGGGGACTCGATCCTGGGACTCCAGGACCACATCCTGGGCTGAAGGCAGGTGCCAAACCACTGAGCCACCCAGGGATCCCCTAAACCTACATGACTTATCTGGAATGTGCCACTTGTTTCCCTGGGATTCCAACTTTGAAGGCCCTTAGAAGTACTCTGTTAGATACACATTACTCTGTTTATTGTTTAACCTGGGAATTAGGCCCAGGGAGGTGAAAGGACTCACTCACAGCCTCAGCCACAGGGCAGGGCTGTAGCGGGTGGTTAGGACACCCCAGGCCCCCACCCCCAGCGTGACAACATAGGTAGGAATGACTGCACTTGGGGAACGCCGGGACACACTTGCCTTGCTTAGAGACCAGTCTTGTGTCTGGTCTCAGGTTTCCCAACAGGATGTGAAGAGGGCAGTGCATTTAGGGGTAGGCCAGCTCTCCCCTGTTCAGGCCAGTTCAGTAGTGGCTGTCAGCCTGGTCCCTGCCAAACCCCTCTGGGGGAAACTGTCCAGGGGAGCTGGGACCAGGGCCAGCCTCCCCTGCCCTTGGCCAGAAATCCATTTGGGGAATTCGGAGGAGCCTCGGAGGCCAAGACAGTCTCATTTGGGGGGGCTGGCGATGGCCCACGGGGAGGCAAGGCCCCAGAGTGCCCTGCTGCAGGTGGGTCCCTCTCCGGCTTGTAAATCTGCCAGGAAGTGGGCACTCACATGTTTGCTGAATGAGCAAATAGATAAACTAAGTGCAGCCAGCTCAGGCCTCCCTTTGTAAACCCTGATTTCATCCTTTCTTTAAGGCACTGGGTTGCTATCACTGTTTCTGTCCAGAATGTGGTCTCATCCTTGGCTTCTGCTAACGGCTACCATCCCTTCCTTTGAGGACTTCTCTCCAACCCATTACAGCCTCCTGTCCCCAGAAAGGTGGTCAGTCACCTGACTCAGACTGGCCAGTGGGAGTGCTCCACCTTTTGATCCCACACCTGGCCTAGATATGATCCAAATCAGTCAATCAGTGTCTTCCTAGACCTTTCAGTCGGAGCCACTGGGGAGGACTCCTGTTTTGGGGGTTTCCAGCTAGCAGGAAATCAGTCTGGTGACAGCCGCTCTCTTGTCCCCGGGTAGAGGGTGAAGGACAGGACAGGCAGGGAGAGGAGAGCGCCCGTTCTGTCCTAGGACCTGGTTCCTGGAGCTCTTTCCCCAAAACCCACCACGTGCAGCTCCACCGCCTTCCCAGGAACAGGACACTTGCTCTTGTGATTTAAGGTAGAGGCCAGCTTCTATCACTGGGCTGAAAGAATCACCCTTTCCACAGGCACCAATGAACATAGACAGGGGCCAGGTCCGTGCCAGGCACCCAGGACACAAAGGTGACTCAGACACTGAGAGCAAACCAGCAGGAAGATGGGATGGGCCCCACACAGACAACATGCGAGTGGTGACAGCCCACACAAAAGGATAGGGAGGGAGGGGTGACTTCTAGCCCGAGGTGGAGGTGGAGCGGGGGAGGGTGAGTGGGTGCTGCTGAAGGAAGGCTTCAGGAAGGTGACGGTGTTTGGGCGGTCCTTGAGGGGCTCCTGCAGGTGCAGCAGAGGGGGCTTCCCCCAGCAAAAGAGGCTTAGAGAGAGGGCTGTGTGCATTTGGGGACCTGCATTTAACCTGCTTTGGTAGTGGGGTTCAAGGAATGAAGGTGAGAGATCTAAGGAGGCCTTGAACTTCAAGTGGAGGAGTCTGTCCTTATTCCTATAGGCACTGGGGAGCCACAGAAATGTTTCTGGGCAGGGGAGTGGCTGGCTCAAACTGGTGAGGCTGAAGACAGGGAGGCCAGTGAGGAGGCTAAGCCAGGGATTCAGGCAGGAGAGACAGGGCCTGAACTGAGTCATGGCAGAGACATGGGCAGAATTGGCTAGCTAGAGGTGGTTAGGAAGGGCTCAGTGTTTGGGGGCAGGGAGGGTGCAGATTCAAGGCTGGCCTCCAGTCACTGGGGAGGCAGAAGAGTTATCTACTAACATCAGGGACCCAGGAGGACATGCGGGTTCAAGGGAGGATGCAGAGCTAGGTTTGAACCTGAATCTGCAGGACCCGTGGGACATCTCGGTGGAGGTGGACACACGGGAGAAAGCACCACGGAGAGGATGCTGGCCTGAAGCCCCACAGTGGGCAGCTGTTAGCCCTTGCCCCACACCTACTGGGATGGTGGTGATGGTGGGCACAGAGCATACATACCAAAGTTGGGGCATTGATGATGGAGAGGTTGTAGCCAAATTGAAAAGTCCCACCAATGCCAGCCGCACAGATGGTCAGGAGCAGGACCCTGCCCTGCATCTGAGGAGAGAGGGGAGGATACAGAGTGACCTTGACCAGCCTCCGCCCCCCTCCCAAGGCTGGAACCTACCAATCACAGCATTATAATCTATTTGAACCAGGCAGTGATGTTTCCACTTTGCAGATGAGGCAGCTGATGCAGAGGAAGAGACTGCACATGGCCAGCAGGTAGCAGAAGAACCCCAGCCTCCTGGTCTGAGTCCAGGATCCTGCTCCCCCCGCCACCCTCTCCCCCATCAGTATTTTCCTGAAGTAGACAACAGTTCTCTGACCCTTGGTGCCAGGCTGACCCTGGGCATGCCTGCTGTGGTTCAGGAGCACAGTGCTCAGAGCTGGGGCCCCAGCAGAGTGAAGCTCTGATCCTAGCAGGACAGGACCTCCCAAGCCCCAGTGGCTTGCCCCAGTAAAACATTCTCCAACAGAGTGGCTGCGCCTCCTTCCCTCACTAAGTTCCTCAATAACGCTAACAGAACCTCACCAGGTTCCTCAATAAGGCTAACAGAAGGGCCACATGGACCTCTATGCATGGGGACTTGTGGGGCACATGAAGCAGCAGAGTGGCCACAGCTGGTGGCCACACTTGAGTCTCAATGCCAGCTCTGCCCTTACTGGACCTGGAGATGATCGTGCCTATCTCCAGGTAGGGTAGGGAGGCAGCCAAGGTACATGTGTGCCATACACACTTGGTATAATAGACAACAGTTTTCATCCTGGGGTGGAAGGATCTTTTTTTATATATATAAATTTATTTTTTATTGGTGTTCAATTTGCCAACATATAGAATAACATCCAGTGCTCATCCCGTCAAGTGCCCACCTTAGTGCCTGTCACCCAGTCACTCCCACCACCCACCCACCTCCCCTTCCACCACCCCTAGTTCGTTTCCCAGAGTTAGGAGTCTTTCATGTTCTGTCTCCCTTTCTGATATTTCTGGGGGGCAGGATCTTGCCATAGGTCTGGAGACCGGTCCATCAGAGGACATGCCTACAGTTCCCATAAGGCCTAAGGAACTTCCTTTCAAGCTGGAAGCTATAGGATGAAGCCAGGTGAGGACCCAGGACTCTGGTCTCACTGGTGTTACATTAAACCTCCATGTGGGGGGTGCCTGGGTAGCTAACAGTTGGTTAAGGGTCTGCCTTCCGCTCAGGTCATGATCCCAAAGTCCTGAAATCAAGCCCCACATCAGGCTCTCTGCTCAACAGGGAGCCTGCATTTCCTTCTCCTCCTTGATCGCTGTCTCTCTCTCTCTCTCTCTCATAAATAAATAAATAAATAAATAAATTAATTAATTAATTAAAAAAAATCTCTCCATGTGGGCTGCATAGAAGTGAGCCTTCTACTAAGATAGATCTGCAGGAAGCAGCAAAGACCTAGAGCCTGGGGCGTCTGGCTGGCTCAGTTGGAAGAGCCTGTGACTCTTGATCTCAGGGTTTGGGTTTGAGTCCCATGCTGAGTATAGAGATTATTAAAAATAATAATAATAAACTTAAAAAAAAGACACAGAGCTTGATGACAATTGAGCCCGTGGGGCAGGAGATGCTGGCAGGTCTCCAAACTAGCAGGAATTTTTAAAAAGATTAATTAATTAATTAAGAGAGAATGAGCAGGAGGGGTGGAGAGAGAGGGAGAGAGAATCTGAAGCAGATGCGTGCTGAATGAGCCTGACACGGGGTTCAATCTCACAACCTTGATATCAGGACTTGAGCAGAAACCAAGGGTTGGAAGGTTAACTCGACTGTACCACCCAGGTGCCCCAGGAAATTATTTAATTCACTGGGCTCATGCATGGGGATTGCCTAGTCCTGTGTCTGATCGGGAAGAACATTCCCACATTAGCTATGATGGTGATTATCAATTCAGTGAACAAATACTTCTTGCCTCCCTACTGGGAACAGTAAACCAACTGTTTTGGGTGCTGCGGATATATCCAGTGGGACAGGAAACAAATCTCTGACCTCACAGAGCTTTCCTTCCAGCAGGGGAAGGCAGGGCAGGCAATAACAAAATGAATACATAGTATGTCAGCTGGTGTGATGAAGACAGAAAGCAGGGAGGGGTGAGAGGGGGTGTTTGAGAGGGTGGTCGGGGAAGGCGACATCTGCAGGAGGACTTGAAGGACAGGGGGACAGGTGCCATGCAGGTGGGCGTTTGAAGGAAACCAGTGCAGGCTGGCAGAGGAGTGGGAGGACCAGGGGCCTGGGGGCGGGGGAAGGACACCCAGAGATGGGTGGTGGTGGTGTGGACGTTCGCCTCCGGCTGCCCCCACTGCTCTGTGAAGCGGGACATCGGAACAGGGTTTAGAGGGAGCACGGAGGAGGACATGAAGGTAGGAGAGTGAGGCGAGGCAGGAGGGGGCGCGGCGACCTGGACGGTGGTGCCCAAGGGCTGCTGCCTCCCGGGCGTGTCGGACCCGCCCCGCCGGAGGGCCCCGGGACAGCGCAGGGGCTGCAGCCTGGGATGCGCCGGGCCGCGGCTCCTGCAGACGCGTGACCCCATGCAACGTTGCCCTGGCCCGGGCCGTCCCCGCGCGCCACCTGCTTCCGCTCGTCTGAGCGCAGCACCGAACGGCAGCGCGCGGGCCACAGCAGCCGGGTTTGTGCTCCGCCCGCTCCGTCAAGCCTCCGGAGGGCCTGCGCCCGTGCGTTCGCGCCGGTCTGCCATCCCTCGTCTGGCACGCCTGGGCCGGGCGCGTTTCGGAATTCAGACCTTTCCCCATCGCAGGAGGGTACCGAGCACGTACGCATTTCTCCAGCATTCGCCGCAACACCGGGTTTGCCGCACAGAACCGCCGCCGCCGTGGCCGCTCGGGGGAAAGCGCATGCGCGCCGAGAGGAGCGCGGTGCCGTGGTTTCTGCGGGATCCCGGGAGCGGACCGGGAGGCGCATGCGCAGTGGGCGTTGTAGCTGCGCTCTCCGGGGGGGAGGGGCGGGCAGGAACGGGCGCGCAAGCGCGGTGGGTGTCGAGGCGGCCGGGGGAGCGGAAGGCGCGTCCCCAGCGCACCCGAGACAAAGCGCAGGCGCCCGGGGCGGTGTAGGGGCGAGCGGTGCCTTGAGCTGTCACCCGGGGCTGAGGCCCGAGGGGCGGCTCCCGCTCATCCTCCATCCCTCCCTTTCCGTAGCTTTGAGGCTGAAGAGCCACGCCCGGCGTGGTCGGCCGAGCCTGGGCCCATCTGTGCAAAGCGGAAGGGAACCACGCCAACCCCCGCAGGCGCCCCCCCAGGTCGCAGAGGGCTGCAAGCTCGCCCGAAGCCCGGTCCCGGCCCTTGGTCCGCTCTCCCGCCCCGGAGTGAAGCTCTGCGGGCCCCTGCCTCGGCCCCCCGCACCGCCTCCCCGGCCCCTCCCTCCCACTTCCCTCTACCCCCATCGGGCCCCACCCTCGCCCCGGCCTGGTGGAGGGGCAGAATCGCGAGGGACCTAAGGCCAGACCCACCAGTCTCTGGAGCGTTGGCATCCGTCAGTCCTGGCCGAGCCCGGGATGCGGGGTGCACCGGGGAGAACCGGCTTCAGGCTGGCTCTTGGAGGTGAGGAGCCGCAGGGTCCACTTGGCCTGATTAATCTTTTATTTCTCAGGGCTTCTTGGGCCCTGCATGCAATCCAGGAGGTGGAAGAAGGCCAAATGGAAACCAGACTTGCCTAAGATGCTCTTTGTGGTCATAGACACCTGCCTGAAAGTGGCCTTAGGACGCCATCGGAGCAAAGACTGTGACAGGATGTAACCCGAAGGGAGACTGCGGTATCTCTCTTGCTCATGCCTGGTTTTTGTTTGATTTTTGCTGCTCTGGACTTTTGTTTCTTAATAACATTAAGTTTTGGGGGGTTTTTTGAGAGAGAGCTCTTGGGAGTGGAGAGGGGCAGAGGGAGACAGACAGAGAGAGGATCCCAAGCAGGCTCTACTCTCAGCTTGGAGCCTTGCTGCTGGGGGCTCAGTCTCAGAACCTGACCTGAGATCAAGACCTGAGCCCAAACCAAGGGTTGCTTGTTTAACTGACTGAGCCACCAAGAAGTCCCTGCTGCTCTGAGCTTTTAAAAACTCCTGAAAACATTGTGGGTTTTTGGGACAGCTGGGTGGCTCAGCGGTTGAGAATCTGCCTTCAGCTCAGGGCATGATCCCAGGTCTGAGGATCTAGTCTTGAACTGGACTCCCCACAGGGAGCCTCTATGTCTCTGCCTCTCTCTGTGTGTCTCTTATGAATAAATAAAATCTTAAAAAAAAAAACCACAACATCGTGCAGTTTTAAGGAAAAACACAATAAAATGCTAATTGCATTTTTTCTGCACCTGTTCAGATAATCATAGGCATTCTACTTAACTGTTTATGAGCTTTATTACATCAATAGACTTTCTAAGAGTGATTACTCCTTTAAATCTTAGGATAAACACAACTAGCTCATAGTTTTGTAATTGTTGCTATTAACACATTGTTGGCTTCGGTTGCTAATATTTTATTTAAATAGATTTCTTTTTTCAAAAAAGGCCATATTTTCTCCTCTCAAATAGCTGTCTAGGCAGGGCTTATGGATATATTTTTTAAAGATTTTATTTATTTATTCATGAGAGACACACACACACACACACACACACAGAGAGGCAGAGACACAGGCAGAGGGAGAAGCAGGCTCCATGCAGGGAGCCCGACATGGGATTTGATCCCCAGGATCAGGCCCTGTGCCAAAGGCAGCACTAAACTGCTGAGCCACCTGGGCTGCCTGAATATTTTGAAGTGGGTCACCTAATGGGCCTGTTTATATTCAGCCAGGGCGCAGGTGATCACTGTGTGTCCTTCTACCTTACTTAGGTATCTATTGCTCAAATTGGTTGCCTAAAAACGGCCTCTATGATAACCTCAGGATAAAGAAGGATAAAACATAAGTTTTTTTTTTTTTTAAGATTTTATTTATTCATGAGAGACACAGAAAGAGAGGCACAGGCACAGGAATGGGGAGAAGCAGGCCACCCCCCACAAGGAGCCTGATGTGGAACTTGATCTCAGTCTCTGTGAGATCACATCCTGAGCCAAAAGCAGATGTTCAACCGCTGAGCCACCTATGTGTCCCAAAACATGAGGTTTCTTATGAGAATTTAACATCATTAAAAATTAAAATCTAGTGGTTCCTGGCTGGCTCACTGTTAGAACATGAGACTCTTGGTCTCAGGATCATGAATTCAAGCCCCATGTTGGGCATGGAGCCTACTTAAAAAAATAATTATAAAATTAAAAATCTATGTTAAAAGATACCATAAAAGTGTGAGACTAAGAGCTACCAAGTAGCTGTGGAGAAGCTGTCCACAAGCATATGACCAAAAAAGCATTAGTATTCCAGATATATAAAGAAGTCAATATGGGGCAGCCCTGGTGGCTCAGCAGTTTAGCACCACCTTTGGCCCAGGCTGTGATCCTGGAGACCAGGGATCGAGTCCCACGTCGAGCTCCCTGCATGGAGTCTGCTTCTCCCTCTGCCTGTGTCTCTGCCTCTCTCTCTCTCTCTCTCTCTCTCGTATGTGCCTCTCATGAATAAATAAAATCTTTAAAAAAAAAGTCAAGGGATCCCTGGGTGGCGCAGCGGTTTGGCGCCTGCCTTTGGCTCAGGGTGCGATCCTGGAGACCCAGGATCGAATCCCATATCGGGCTCCCTGCATGGAGCCTGCTTCTCCCTCTGCCTGTGTCTCTGCCTCTCTCTCTCTCTCTGTGTGTGACTATCATAAATAAATAAATTTTAAAAAAATAAAATAAAAAAATAAAAAATAAATACAAAAAAAAGTCAAAGTCTTAAAAAAAAGAAGAACTCTTGGGGTGCCTGGGTGGGTCAGTCAGTTAGGCTTCTGCCTTCCACTCAGGTCATGATCCCAGAGTCCCTGGCATTGGGCTCCCTGCTCATCAGGGAGTCTGCTTCTCCCTCTCCCTCTGCTCCTGCTGTATCTTTCTCTCTCTCAAATAAATAAATAAAATCTTTTCTTTTTTTATTTTTTTTTAATATTTATTTATTTATGATAGACATAGAGAGAGAGAGGCAGAGACACAGGAGGAGGGAGAAGCAGGCTCCATGCCGGGAGCCCGACGTGGGACTCGATCCCGGGACTCCAGGATCGCGCCCTTGGCCAAAGGCAGACGCTAAACCACCGAGCCACCCAGGGATCCCAAAATCTTTTTTTTTTTAAAGAGGAACTCTTAATCCCATGCTCAAGAACTTCTGTTCATACATGCAGCATTGTTTGTAATATTAGAAAACTGTTAACAACCCCAATGTCAATCATCAGGAAAATGGAGAAATGAATTGTGGCTTACAGGAGAATGCCACTCATCAGTAGACAGTGATGAACTAGAGGAACAACATTAACATAAAATTAGGTGAAATCAAAACACAGCCTGGATAAAGGTGCAGAAAATTGTACAGATTATAAAGCCTTTACATATATTTTATAAAGATTTTATTTATTTTTAAAGATTGTATTTATTCACAAGAGACACAGAGGGAGAGAGAGAGAGAGAGAGGCAGAGACACAGGCAGAGGGAGAAGCAAGCTCCATGCAGGGAGCCCCATGTGGGATTCGATCCTGGAACCCCGGGATCATGCCTTGGGCTGAAGGCAGGCACTAAACCGCTGAGCCACCCAGAGATCCCCTAAAGATTTTATTTTTTATTTATTTATTTTTTTTAAATTTTTATTCATTTATGATAGTCACAGAGAGAGAGAGAGAGAGAGAGAGAGAGAGGCAGAGACATAGGCAGAGGGAGAAGCAGGCTCCATGCACCGGGAGCCTGACGTGGGATTTGATCCCGGGTCTCCAGGATCGCGCCCTAGGCCAAAGGCAGGCGCTAAACCGCTGCGCCACCCAGGGATCCCCCAAGATTTTATTTTTTAAAGTCATCTCTACACCCATCGTGGGGCTAAACTCACAATCTCAAGATCAAGAGTTGCACGCTCCACTGACCCAACCAGTCAGGCACCCCGAAAGACTTTATATTAAGAAATATACTTTGTATTTGGAAATCTACAAAACCTTATGTCTTAGGTAGGAATATATGCATATGTAGTAAAAGCTTGAGAGTGTACCTGGGATACAACTAAATTCAGAACTGGATTTAATTTTTTTTTTTTTAAGATTTATAGGGCAGCCTGGGTGGCTCAATGGTTTAGCGCCTGCCTTCGGCCCAGGGCCTGATCCTAGAGACCCAGGATCGAATCCCACATCGGGCTCCCTGCATGAAGCCTGCTTCTCCCTCTGCCTGCGTCTCTGCCTCTCTCTCTCTGTGTCTCTCATGAATAAATAAGTAAAAAATAAAAATAAAAAAAGTTTTTTAAATAAATAAAGATTTATATATTTGAGTGGATCCCTGGGTGGCTCAGAGGTTTAGCGCCTGCCTTCAGCCCTGGAGACCTGGGATCAAGTCCCACATTGGGCTCCCTGCATGGAGCCTGCTTCTCCTGCCTGTGTCTCTGTCTCTCTGTGTGTCTCTCATGAATAAATAAAGAAAATCTTTAAAAAAAAGATTTATATATATATATTTTAAAGATCCTATTTATTCATAGAGACACAGAGCGAGGCAGAGACACAGGCAGAGGGAGAAGGAGGCCCCACACAGGGAGCCCACGTGGGACTCGATCCAGGGTCCCCAGGACCACACCCCAGGCTGCAGGTGGCGCTAAACCGCTGCATCACCAGGGCTGCCCAAGACATATATTTGAGAGACAGAGAGCATGAGCAGGGAGTAGGGCAGCAGGACAGGGAGAGAGAGAAAATCCTATCAGACTCCCTGCTGAGCACGAGACTCCACACAGGGCTCTATCTCAGGACCCTGAGATCATGACCTGACCCAAAATCAAGATGCTCAACAGACTGAGCCACCCAG